TGGGATTGACAAGCAAGCCAAGTCTGTTCTGTAACATGCCTCGTTTGGTCTGAATCTAAAATGGCACTTTAAGAGAGTGAATTATAAAGATGGAAAAAGAGTATTAAAACATAATTAGAGATTTAAAAAATTAAACATGAAAACTAATAAAGAAATAAAAAAAAATACAGAGAGAAAAAGGCTAGCATTAAGAAAGGTGGTGGTGGTGGTGGTGGTGGTGGGGTTCATAAATTGATGGTGCGATAGGAGCTGCCCCCACCGCAGCTGGTGGTGGTGGAAATAAACGAAAACTTGTTTATTTATTCCCACAATAAATCAAAGAAAATGTTTTTGTAAAAATATTAATTTTATTTATTCACTGTACTAATAAAAAGACTGCTCTCTTGTGTCTTTGTGGGTGTTTTCTTTCTGTGGCAGCTTTGGGGTTTTGAGTTTCAACCTAAATTAACTTTTTTAAGATATATTGTATTTTACTATTACATTTAATATTTGTTAGTATATAAAAATATATATAATCATAAAATATAAAGTTTATTTTTATTGTTATTTACAGATCATAAAAGGGGTTTAAAGTTTAATCATTTGGATTGGGAAATTCCTTTTTACTGTTAGTTGTTTTTGACTGTGGAAGTGTTTAGCTGTTTCAAACTCTGACTGCTGGCTGAGGTGTTTTTTTGGCTGACTTTACCATCTTTTAACTGTTCTTTGGTTTGCTATTAATATTTAAAAAGTATTAAAAATGACATCATAAATCATGTTAATCATTAATTATTTTATTTTATTTAAAACATCAAAACCCATATTTAAATTAATTTTTGAGGCTAAAAGATTTGTTGATGTCTTTTTGAAATCTCAAATTTAAATATCATGTACGTAATAATATCAATTTTTATTATTAAATAATTGTGATAATTAAATAAATATTACAATATTCACCTTAGAGTTAATTTTCATTTTGAATCTGATTGTGTTGTCTTAGTTAATAAGCTATTTCGCGGCGAATAGTATATATCTACCGACATTGATCTTCATCGGGTCAAAGATTGTTTTAAGTCCTTTCATGGTTTTTATATTTCTCTAATTTAGTGTTCTTGCACTGTTCTTGTTGATTGTTTGGTTAAATGGACTCTTATGCTTTGTCTTCATTGTTTTTAATTTGACTTGTCATGATTATTTTTTCGTAGGTATTGAACGATTTATGATTTATTTAAACTAATAAATTGATGTATGACTAACATTTTGATGTTGGATAAAAGAAATTTTTAACGAGACATGTCATCCTTAAAAAAGTTATTATTTAGAAGACCTTAATCATCTTCATATCTAATAGATATAAAATTAGAATAAGTAATTAATTGTTATGAAAAAAAAGACGTACAAGTGAAATCAATGTTAGATAGGGGGTATACGTGTACAGTACAAGGGTAGGTAATGTGATACTCATGGCCTCACCCACCCTGCTGCTGCTAATAGACTCTCGGTGGATATTATTTTGTAAAGCGTTTCTTTTTGAATAAGTGACGTGGAAATTTGTAGAGCGCCTTATTTGAAGGGTGAATTACAAGGGAAGGGAAGGAGGGGGGTCTCCTTTCTAATTTCACCAACGAACATCATCTTTCTTAATCACATGACACGTAGATGATAAAAAAATAAATGTTTGATAATCATTAGAAGGGGTGCCACGTAGACGAAGCTTTCTTTTTCCCTAATTCAACTAAACTGGGTCCACACAGATTTACTTACCTTCCAGGTTTTTTTTATTTATATAAAAGGACTGTACAGCTGGCGATAGTGACTGAGCAGATGGGAAAGTGAATTGTAAACCACAGAATCTCTCTTTCTCGTGTTCGAATTAAAAAGGAAAAAAAAATTACTCGTCCTAATTTTCATATGTAATGAGATAAGGAAGAGATATAATAATAGATTGTTTCTAACGTTAGGTTGAGAGTAACTTTCGTGGAAGATCTCCGATAATTATGAATTATCTACCGAGATTAAAAGTTTATGCTCTACAGAACACCAACTAAACTGGACGGATAATTTTTCGTGTTCGAATTAGAGATGGGTATAATCCGGAACAGCGGATGGACAGCTCATTGAATTAACAGCGTTGGGTAAAGACATGACGCCACCTCCTTTAAAATTAACTGTGTACGGTAAAAGGACTATTTTTTTATTCATAGGATTTGGGGGAATTTCATCTTTTATGGGTTTGGGTGAACTATACAAACAATCAAAACAATATATTTTATTTAATAATCTTAAAATTTAAAATTCAGTAGAATATCTATTCAATATTAATTTATTTAATATTATCATTATTGTAATCTATAATTTCATGAGTTAAAATGGGTTTAATTAAAATAATTTCAAATTTAAAATTTAAAAAATGTAATATTTTCTTGTAATCATATTAATTTATATTGCTTCAATGAAAATGAGATTATTGGAAATAACATTAGAAATACAACTAGGACTATCGTAAATTAAATATAAAGTCAAACGACTAATGGAGGTGTAATGAAAGAGTGTGGGCAACGATATTGGTAAAGTATTGAATAATTTAGATTTAAATATGAGAATGATCATTTAACAGTCTCGTCGTGTTTCAATAAATGAAATATTTTCAAGAAAATATCATCGTGATGAATAATAACAACAAAAGATGTTAGTAGTATTGTTCTCGATAATAACATGAGGTCAATTTAATTAGATTGTTAATCAAATGCCATAAGTAATAACATAAACCTTGATACTCGCATCATTTAGAACTATAGTTCACATGACTTGATCGGCAACTATCACCATCAAGAAATTCGAGTAAGAGCTTTGACAGTCGAAGCCCATGATACAAGCAAACACTCCCCTATCAACTACTAAGTATTGATATAATCTTTGGTTTATAATATAGTGATCGGTTAATTTAGTTCATGTATTGTAAATACCTATTATGAAGGTAACCATCTCAATCTAATTTTATTCATTCATAACGTCATGATTCAAATCTCTAATCTTACTTGAGAGATTTAGTATCTTATTATACACGACCAACTAATTGTTGATAACTACTTATTTAAATACTGTAATTTTTATGAATAAAAAAATGATAAAAGTGCAAAAAATTCATTTTACAAAATTCATATAAAATTGGACTGCCAAATTTCCGTTAAAATTGAGCTAAGCAACAACTCAAATAAAAATATTCTTAATCATAAATTAAAATAAAAAAAATCAATTTGAAATTCCATCTTCAACATAAATTATGGATTTAGCATGAAGTTGAGTTTAATCGATACTATTAATCAGAGAATCTAAAAATTCGATATTTTGCAATCAGATTCATCCACCTGACATAGTTTTCATGCAAGTATAGTAGTTGCAGTTACTGGTTTATAAAGATCCATCATCTTCCCTTTAATAATCCCGTGATTAAGAAATCATATATCTTATTAATGACATTAATCACATCTAGTCTTCTCTCTCCCTCGATTTCTCCTGTAAACAAACCACCATCTTACCTTCTTCATTCATCTTGTGTTATTCAACTTACTTGAGAAAAATCTAATGGCCCTCAGTGCTTTGTTCATCTTTGGTCCTGTTTGTTGCCTATTGGCTAGTGCCAGCCGCAAGGCAACTCTCCAGCACCGGCACACTAGCGGCAAGGCTCGACGATAATCGAGGCTTTGCCGAGTGCTGGAATGCACTGAATGATAAATACCTCTACAATTAAAGTTCGTAATAATTGAGCCTTCTAATGGATTATTATTTATTGCATGGCTCCTCCAAAAATATCCCCTTACACCCGTCCAAAATAAATACTCGAGATCTTTACCTCGTAATCAATTTTCACTTCAATTTTTTGGTATATAAATTCTAAAAGATTGTATTAACTTTAGGAGACGTATCTGTTTTCGAGGATTATATCCATCGTTATAATTTTACTTTTAAGTTATTTAATTTTTATTTTTCAATCAACGCTAACATTTCGATTCCGCGTACTATTTAATATTTCCAACTATTTACAAGTAAAATATATACTATTGTTCAAATGACAATGATGAACAAGATGATACCCTCACTAAATAACATCATTAGGAGCATAAAGAAATATTATAAGAATGAAAAAGTTTGAATGTTAAATATATTAATGTAAACGATTAATAAATATAAATTGATAATAGAAGTATTTGACTTAAATTTTATTCTTTTAATATAAAATCGAAGATTATAATGTATATGTTAATTGAAAGAAAAAAAATCTTATTGATTTTTAGGAGAACTAAAAATTTTTTACAATATATATTAAATCCGGTTTCAACTGATTCACGTTAAGGATACGAGATCAATTAGACCACTTGTTACCAACCAACCAATAAGTGGATAATAAATATTTAATTCTACCATTTGACACTTGAATTTATAATTTTTACAAAATGATCCATATTAAAGGACTTAAAAATAATAAATAATAAATTATTTAATTTGTTTTAAATTATAACAAATTGTAATATAGAATCCACATAATATTTTTGGACATTTGACATCGATTTAATAAATAACGGTATCAAATATGTAATGCTTGATAAAAATATATACTAATTTGGTTGGAAAGATAATACAGATACCATATAGGTACCAAATGCGTAATGTTTCACAAATATAGGTACCAAATTGATTAAAAAAACACTAGTACCACATTTATACTGGTTAAACAAAATTAATCAGTGAATGTGGAGGATTCAATTTTTATGTCCTATCAAATTCATTCACCTGGCTTGTGCTTTGCAGTTACTGATTTATACAGAAACCATCATCTTTCCCTTAATTAATCCTCTGATTAAGACAATAATCGCATATTTAGTTTTTGTCCTCTCGTCTTCCGTGGTTTCTCCTATAAATAACCTCCCACACAGTCTCACTTTCTTCACTCAACGTTTTCTAATTCAACTATTTACTTGAAACAACGTTTTCTCAACTATTTACTTGAAAAAAGACATATAATGGCATTCAGAGAATCGTTTCATCGCATGGTCCTTGTTTCCTGCGTTTTGGCTAGTGTAACATCCGCAAGGCAACTCTCCAGCTCCGGCAAACCAGGCCACATACTCGATGATAATCGAGGCTTTGCCGAGTGCTGGACCGCACTAAATGAGCTGAAATCGTGCACCGATGAGATTATTCTGTTCTTGGTTAATGGTCACACTGATATCGACTCCCAATGTTGTCGTTCGATCGAGATTGTCACCCGTAATTGTTGGCCTGCCATGCTCACATCCCTTGGTTTCACATACGAGGAAAGAAACATTCTCAGAGGCTACTGTGATGCATCCTGTCCTGGACCTGCTGCTGCACCAACTCTTGCTGCCTCCCCCGTTAGTCCAGTGGCTGCAGTTAAAGAATCGGCATTTGGAATGTTCCGAGTTTTTACGTATTTTCTTGATGCAACGGTTTGAGTGTAATAAAGTTTGTTTGAATACATCGAACTGAAGTTAAAATATTGCTCAATCATATACATGATTAGGATCTATTTACGCAATATAAAAAATTCTTAGCTCTCGTGTTTACATCATTGTGGATATTGACAAAAACAATGTCTCAGCTGCTATTTGAGCTCAAGATGTTCTTCATGCTGCCTACACAGCTCTGTAAATCTGGATTCCTGCAACTAATTTAGACAGATAACAAAATAAACTAAGAATCAAAACCCAACACCAATTGATCTTATTAAGAAAACAGAGAACGGGGGTGAAAGATGCAAGAAATTACTCACAAAGAACTCGTAATAGTTTACACCAGCCTCGGATAAGAGAATTCTATTTCTTTTTCCGGAAGTTATGCATGTGTTCTTTGTTGCAAATAAAACCCAGTTTTTTTATTATTTTTTAACAGTAGTGACTAAAGAATAAAAAAAAAAAAGAATACTCTGTCTTTAAAAGATTATTTAAGTATTATAGTTTTTCATAATTGACGACTCTAAAAATAGTCGAAAAATCATTCGCGTTCAAATTTTTTATGAACTAATGGGGGGCGAGGCCTTGTTTTAGAATTTGAAAAAAAACAACCAAGTGATATTAATGTTTAATAAAGTGTTATTTTCTTTAAAGATTATGTGTTCGTATATTTAGGTGTGTATTATCAGTAGTTAAAAAAAATTCTACAAATTGATATCACTTAAAATAAAGTATTGAGTTTGAGTTTTTGTACATGCAGAAAATTCTTATTGGATTATTTTGTAATCATTTTACACTATTAAAAAAGAGTAAAATACACAAATGATCCCCCGACTATTGGATGATGCTTTATTGAGTCATTAGACTATAAAAAATTACAAAATAATCCTTCTATTATATGGCATTGCTTTGTTTAGTCCTTTGACTATTAAAAGTTATAAAATGATCACTTGATTATTCAATGCTCCAAACTCTTTTTTTTTTGTTAAAAATTGATGGTTGTTTAAGTTGGACGTTAACATACTGATTGAAATATGATATTCGTTTGAGATTATGCGATAAAATTTTATATTATATTCTAGTTAACATGTTAACATCTAGCTCAATCTACCATCAATTTTTTAACAAAGAAGACGAATTTGAAACATTTAAATAATTGAGTGACCATTCTATAACTTTTAATAATAATTAGAAACCATTTTATAACTTTTAATAGTTTATCAATTTAGTAAAATAACACCCCCCCATTTGTGTACTTTACCCTAAAAATGAAAACAAACGTTAGAAAATCAATTCAATGGGTGCCTACAACATAATTAGTTAATTTATACCCCTCATATTCAAAATTTTCTCGCTTGTCGCCTGGTGTACAAATTAAACGACCTTCAAAAGTTGTAATAAGAAATTATATTAAAATTATATAATATTTTTATACAAATAAATTTTATATTAATAAGAAAACAAATTAAACTTCCCCTTTCCCCTCTCTCTGTCCTCAGTAAATCCCCTTTTTCTAACGTTCAACACCCCAAAACTAAAGGAATGCATGGTGCTAACAAAACCCGGGCAAATGGCTGAGATAATGTGTTTAAAAAAATTCTTCATATAGTCCACTCAAACAATTATTTTACAGACTAAAGTATTTTAAATAGTAATTTGAAGAAGATTCCAAGATTATCTCGCGTCTTCATCTAATTCTCCTTTTTTTTTTTGCTCTGCAAAGTTGAAGACCATAGATTACCATTCGTCTTCAACAAAAAATAAAATAAAATCGCATGAATTATCATACGTATTTATTTGGAGACAGTAGGAAACATCCTAATTCAGGAAATAATTTGACGAGAGCTATATACCAGAAATTTTTTTTTCCAACGTCTTGTTTGGGCGAGGAAGCCAACAAAACCCAAATTACCTTCATCATTAAAAATTGAAGCTTTTTATCAAAAGCATAAATCAGTCAACAATGGAATCGGAACCACCATTCTTCAAGTTTTCCCCCTATTTTTAATTAATATTGAGCCTCGAGAACCAAAGATACACATAAATTTATAAAATCTTCCTATTAAACAATACTGGAAAATAGAAATGGTTCACCCAACCCTAGAAACAAGCAACACAACCGAAGAAGAAACCATGAAAGCATAGATCAAGATGAGGAAACCAAAATGCAGCGCCCAGTTTTCTCTTGAACTTGGCAAAGTAAGTTTCTGGCGGTTCCTGGTAATGAATCTGGAACTCACCTTCTTCCCCGAACCCATCACGAACTCCCCATTGTTGATCCTAATCTTTCCCCCTCAGCTTATCAGTAGCCAACCCCAGCGTCAGCTTGTGGCACCGTCTCTGGTACTTGAACCCATTGATACACCTCAGAGTCTGAGCCACCGAGACATAGAAGATAAGATGCGAAAGAGAGAGCAGAGTGATGGGTGCCCAGCAATGGCGCATTGGAGACGATTCGACTGAGCTTGAGCCATGAAGACGAGGGCTAAGAAGAGGAAGAAGAGCTGGAAAAGCTTGTGGAGTTCTTTCTTTTGGAGGTCGATGGCTCGTTTCTTTCGAGGGTCTTCTCGAAGTGGAGTTGGATTATGGTGTTTAAGGCTTGGAGAGCAGTTTTTCTTTGGGGATCGTTTGGGTGGTGTGTTGGCACGTAGTCCCGCCATTGGTGGCCAGATGAGAGGGAGGGAGGGGAAGGGGGTAAGGCCGTGGGGTTTGAGAAATGAGTGGCGCTGGGATCTCCAGGGTTATGTGATGGTGGAGAGGGTTTGGATCTGAAGTCTGAATGAATGATTGCAGGAGTATCATTGGGAACCCATGGTGTAAAACTGTACCACTGTAAACTTACTTCTTTTAAAGAAGGCATGGTAACCGTGACATAATAATAATTTGTTAAGTAATTTAAAATGATGATAAATCTCTTAAATTTATTTTTAGAAGAATAACCTTTAGTACAGAGATTTATTCAAAGAGCTTAGTTCAGACCATTTCATAATTTGAAGGTCTCCTACGAAAACTGATCTCAACCTACTGATCTCAACCTAATGTTGGAGACAGCCTACTATCTTACCTCCCCTTACCCCATTACATATGGGAACAAGGGACATTCATTTATTAGATAATATATATAAAATGAGAGATGCTATATCAAATATCTTTAATTATATTATATTATTTTCGGACTGAGTAAGAATTTTTCAAAACGCATTTAAAAAAAACCCAATCATAATGACTAAAATCCATCACATTCGAATCGAATATCAATCCTTACTAGAGTCAAGCCCATAATTTTATCTTGACGAGTGTGTAGTTACTCATTTGATGATGTGGAAATCGTATAATGATGATAGCAATGCACTCCCATATCAGACCGTGATTGATCGTCGACACCTAAATCCTAAAGATATAGAATATGGAAATCATCAGATCATTTCAAGGGCTAGCGTCAATTCAAATCAAATCCTAAACATTTTAACGGAAATATTCCAAAACCCGGTATCCAAAATAAATCCCATGACTGTTTTATGACCGCAAACTGACACTAATTTAAATTTTGCTCGTTCGGTACAATAGCTATTAACATTAATGTTCTTCCCCAACAATCTCTTAATCTAACCCAAACAACTCACCCCATTGATGTTCTCATTTTGGGGGGAGGGGAATGAACAGTAAAATTAAACAAAAAAAACTAAGAAACAGCATCACAGTCATTATCCTCATCAATTGTCTGTCCATCACCATATCTAGATGGCGATCTTCCACAGTAACACCGGCAGGCATCACAGGTCGTAATAACTTATGATGAATAGGGATGACTTGTATAATATAAACTCAAGGTACACCATCCTTCACACTTTCTCACTTAACACAAAAGAAGGCAACTAATTGAAAATGTAACTTACCATAAAAGCACTTGGAAAACTTAGAAGCACTTCCTGTGGACAATGGATGGGCCAGATTCATCGTACTCACCCTTGGAAATCCAATCTGATGCAACAGTAATGCGAGAAAGTCAGTCTTGGGCAATGAGCGTTAAAAAGGAGTAAAATACTTTAAATATACTCCACCTGTTGGAAGGTGCTGAGAGATGCCAAGATAGATCCTCCGATCCAGACACTGTACTTTCTCTCAGGCGGCGCAACCACCTTAATCTTCATGCTGCTTGGTGCAAGGGCAGTGATCTCCTTGCTCATACGGTCTGCAATACCAGGAACATGGTTGAACCACCACTGAGCACGATGTTACCGTAAAGATCCTTCCTGATATCAACATCACACTTCATAATAGAGTTGTAGGTAGTTTCATGGATTCCAGCAGCTTCATCCCAATGAGTGATGGCTGGAAGAGGACTTCTGGACAACGGAATCTCTCGGCTCCAATAGAATCACTTGTCCATCAGGCAACTCATAGTTCTTCTCAACAGAAGAGCTGCTCTTGGCTGTCTCCAGTTCCTGCTCATAGTCCAGGGCAACATAAGCTAGCTTCTCCTTCATGTCACGGACAATTTCCCGTTCAGCAGTGGTGGTGAACATGTAACCTCTCTCAGTAAGAATCTTCATCAAAGAATCAGTGAGATCACGACCAGCAAGGTCTAGACGGAGGATGGCATGTGGAAGGGCATAACCTTCATAGATTGGTACAGTGTGAGAGACACCATCACCAGAATCCAACACAATACCTGTTCCAATAGGGTGATAATTCAGTGTTATAAGCTTGATCAGGAATGATTATACGACCAACAATACCCAAAGCAATCTTAATTTACCATCTTCCTAACAGGTCGCGAAAATATGAAAAGTCCAAGTGGTCTGTATTTTAACAAACCTGTTGTACGACCACTGGCATACAATAGAGAACAGCCTGGATGGCAACATACATGGCAGGTACATTAAAGGTCTCAAACATAATTTGAGTCATCTTTTTCTGTTGGCCTTGGGGTTGAGAGGTGCCTCAGTGAGCAGCACAGGGTGCTCCTCGGGAGCAACACGGAGCTCATTGTAGAATGTATGATGCCAGATCTTTTCCATATCATCCCAGTTGCTGACAATACCATGCTCAATTGGATATTTCAAAGTAAGGATACCTCTTTTGGATTGTGCTCATCTCCTACATAGGCATCCTTCTGACCCATCCCAACCATAACGCCAGTATGTCGGGGTCGACCAACAATACTGGGAAAAACTGCCTAGGGGCATCATCACCAGCAAAACCCGCCTGTATGGTTAAACAATGTCAGATCAACCACAAAAAGTAATGCATATTTCATAACAAATAAATAACAATGGAGAATATAACTCAGATCCAAAAAACAACTAACCTTCACCATTCCAGTTCCATTATCACAGACGAGGGGTTGAATGTCCTCAGCATCCGCCATATTTTACTACTACAAACAGAATCTAAACATGAGTACATAAAAATCATGTCAGTCTGAACTCCATATCCCTCTCAATTAATCTAAGCAACCAAATTAAAATCGTAAGAGGAATTAAGTTCTAGTTCCTCTTAGTGAAAGAAGGAAACATTTCAGTCAACATTCATTTCTTCAAATACATAATATCTTAGCTACTCGAAATCCAAAACTTTGCTGCCGCAATGGGTCAACCAATTTAGTCAATTCTCAGCATGGTTTTCAGAATCTAATTAAGCTACACTATAAACCGATACAAAACAATTTGAATTAATCGCACAAGTAAATAAAGATCAGGATAAGAGCCTATCCTTAATCTCAAAAAGAAGTTTTCGAAAAGCATCAAGTATTCACAATGAATGCATTAATCAGAACAAGTTGAAAGAAGATCAAATTTAAATAAAGCTGGAAAAAAAAGAAAAATTCATTTCTCACAAGATCTATATATTAACCGAAGAACCTATTGAAGCAGATCGAGCAAAGTAAAGATCGCGAAGAGAGCAACGCAGATCAGCTAAGTCTCAACTCTCAACAACAGTCCATTAACTTCTAGAACCCTATATCTCAGTTCCATGACCGTCGAAACATAAAAAAGAATCCACAAATCGGCAACATTTGAAGTGAAATCAAAGCACACACAACATATTTACCCGAATAAGGAAGAGCGAAGAAGCGGTGGTGACGCTTTGATCTACTTTCGTCACTGTTCGTGGCTGGCGAAAGCTTTGACTAGAGGATAAGAGAAAGGAAAGAAAGGGGTATTTGTATAGAGAGATTGTCGAGGAGGTCTTGAAATGCAAATGAAATTCGGGGAAATTGAAAAGAAATTTGAAATTTAAAGGAGGGAGCCAGGAAATCATTCGAACCACCGAGTAAAGAAAATAGCTGACCTGGCTTTGCCTGCCAGCTGACATCCTTCCCTTTTTATTCAATAAGATATTCTTAAAAGAATTTTCTAGAAAACACGTGTTAGAAAAATGTGAATAAATATTTAGAAATATATATGAATTTGCAGATGTCGGATAGTTTACTATTTTTAATAGTATATAATTTCGTAAATAATTTTAATTTTTAGTTAAATTAGTATCTTATTAACACGTTAATTAAATAAAAATGAATATTAAAATATAAGAAAATACAATTTAATAGGTTATTTATCCTTTTTATGATAATTTAGTAAAGATGAAGTATTTGCGATTTAATTTAAATTTTCAAGCCATACGATACGCCAAAAATTGTTGATACAAATCTTTTAAGAATGTCATATTTTCTTCCTATTCAATTATCTTTCAAAAGTTTGAATTTATAAATGTTCTCGGTAGTTAAAAAATATTATTCATTTAAAAAATTTATATTCGAGTAACTGCATCTATATGATATTTATATTGTCATAATTAAAAAATTAAATAAATAGAACTTTATAATCCCTCATATTAATAAAAAAAATCATTTAATTAAAAATATCTGCTTAAGTAATTTTTAGTCCATCCAAATAATAATTTTACTGATTTAATGATATAAAAATCAGACGTGGAAACCTCAAACTCAACTTTTATTTCCAATACAATTTCAACCTATCGAATTCTTAATTATTTTCAACGCGTTTAGATTACGTTCAAATCATTGATTTTTTGAATTAATCAATGGTATCCGATCTATTGACCGATTAATCCAGATCGGTATTACAGAGGCGAACGTGATCATAAGAACCCAGTTTGCTCCATTTACAAACGCCAAAATTCAAACCCTTAAACTGCTTAAGGGACATAATATCTCATCCAACTAGATCAACTGGTTGTTGGTAATTATGTCAATGGATATTTGTAAACGTTAAATAAACTTGATTTTCTACTTTAATGTATTAATTTATGTGAAGTTATGCATCTTCCTAATGGTGAGACTTTTATGTTGTGCCTATCACAGGTGTTTTCTCTACAATTATTGCATTATCATTTTTGTTGGTGTAGTCTCTTCTATACATTCTTGATCATCGCAAAAATATTATGCATGTAAATTTTTTCGAATCAAATCAATGGAACTTAAAAATTTATTTATAAATTCATGTAATTTGAGTAGGGAGCTAAACGAGCATAGCTTTTGATAAATTTGTTCGTGAACTATTTATAATGTTAGTTTATAAGTTAAATAAATAAGTGCAAACAAAATTTTTATATTCATTTAATAAACAAACAAATGTAAATATAGGGTATTTAAGTTGTTTATGTTCACAAGTAAACTGTTTATTAATTGATTTATTGGCTCGTTTATCCGGTTCTACTGTTCTTTTTATTTCTTTTATATTTTAAATATTTGTGAAAATAGGAACTAAATTAAATACATGATAAATGTTGGATTTCAAACTCTGAAATGTAAGGAGTTTAAGGACTATATGTGTAATTTTACCATTTTTGAACATATTCACCAACACTAAATGAAGAATATAAACACATTTAAAAAACAAATGAACACGAACACAACCTTAATCATTTAAACTCGATTCATTTAGATCCCTAAATTTGAACTATATTACTCGATTAACTCTTGTATATGCTATTTATAGATTTCGGTACATCTTGCAGTTCCTGATTATGCAATTTGGACAATAGTCATAAAAATCTGACCTTAAAAATGGATCATAATGTTACCCTTTAGACCTCATAAACTTGCATGTGCTAACATGTCCCCACCAGTAAATCACATCTATTTGCATTTACCAATGAAAGCTGGAAAAGCAATTGGTGGTCGGTTAGCACCTAAAATACCCGAACTCATTTATTTTAAATTGTGGAAGACAATGAGGATATAATAATCAATCAAGCCTGGCTACTATACATACATTATTACATATTATTAATGTGTGTTGTTATGGCAATGCTACCTTGTCAAGAGATATTTCTTGCACATATATCAGGAAATAAAGAAAGAAAAAAAAAAGGCAAAAAAGGGACTTTCTTTTGTTTAGTGGCACACCATATCATGGGCCACTACTTTAAAATTTATTGGATTATTTTTTATGGACATATAAATGAAAATATGTTTTTGTTAAATTTATCTATATCATTTTGATTCTTTGTTTTATTGAAGTTTTTATATTTAAAGTTTATGTTAAACACATTCAAATATAAATATATATATATATATATATATATATATATATAATTTTTAAATATATAGAAAAATTAAAAATTAAATAAATTCGTTTTGAATATATAATACTCATATCTAATTTTAAATGGTTTAAAATTTATTCTCAGACAATGACGGGTCAATTTGGTTAGTTACCTATTTTACTGATAGTGTATGTTTTGAAATTTTATTTGTGTTGGTCATAATCAACAATTTTGTGTTGTTAACATATGTGTATATTTTCAAAATATTTTTGAATCTGTTACTGTTTTAAACAGACAGAGTAAGTGGCTTGTATGAGTTATGATTTTTCAGTCTGATCTTTCTCTTAGTCAGAAGTATTTCTGGTTTTAGCAGAATCTAATGTATGAAAACATGTGAAATGCATGGACACATCAAAATCATAATCAAGCATAAATTTCTGGGGCAGGGTTAATTTTGGAAGGGTAGCTTCGAATGCTGATGGAAATGCAGGGGGGTTATTTGCAGTTAGGGTAGCTCACTGGTCTTCTATGTACATCGCCAAAATGAATGTGTATTATATGTTCATGGGATCCTTGTATATTACTCCTTAAAGTTGGACTCTCAAATTCCACGTGACAAAAAGAATTGATCAACTACTATTAAGGTATGATGTCAAAAAAAATCCCTAATATTTATTTTAAGATAAAAAGATTAATAACGTTTAACTAAATAGTAATTTTATTCCTTATTTTTTTAGTAACAGTAGTTCAAGTCATCTGAGTAATGTAAAGTTGGAAAGGATTTCAAGGCTTTTCGCTTGATCCAGGTATTTGGCGATCGAGCTGAAGGCTTACTAAACTTGAGCACCTTACCGCACACCTAATGGTGGAATTAAGATTCCGAGGCTTTTCTTTGATAGATTGAATATAAATCAGCATCGATGTCAGAAAAATATCACAGATGCCTCCTTGGTTTATTTTCTGACATGTTATGGAATCAATTGATCATGTTCTTCATGGTTATCTTGTGGGAGAATATATTTTAAGTTTTAGAATAATTCATTGTTCTAATTGTTGTACTTATTTTCTTTCATAATATATAGAATAATCACTGCTATAATTTTCAGACAATTGTGGGAGTAAAAGTTAAAAGAAAGAGCAAAATATACATAAAAATGATTTTTCTACCACTAGCTAAAGAATGGGCATGCGGAAACATGAAATATTACATCAAGGTCTTCTCTGGTAGTCCTTAGATTCTCATTGGCCAGTACCTGACATTGGAACCATGGTCAACTGTAACGTCCCAATTTCCGGGTTGGGAGTTCAGGCTATCCCGAGGTAGAATTTTTCAAACCCAATAAATCTATGAGAAGCCTTTATCCAAGTATGGTTTGGTTGGGCTTGAGTTGAGCCCATTATAGTGCAAAAGGGGAGTATTTTTGAATTGGGTTATTGTAAGGAGGACCAAAAGTTTTGTAAATGTTGAATCCCATTAAATGAGATTATGTCACACGTTGTAACATGTCGCTATGTCACATGTTGTAACATGTCCCCTTCAGCCTTGTCTTCTTCATCTCTTCAAAACTCATTCTTTTCTCTTCTTCATCTTAAGGCAAGGTGATAACTTTGTAGGAAAATATTTCCTTGCTGAAATCAAGAATGTAAGTTGGGTAATCTCTTCTCTTAGTGCTTCATTTTAAGCCCTCCATCCATTTCCACAAATGGTTATAGAAGCCATGGAAGAGGTTCAGTGGGGGTTTTGAGTTTTAAGAGCCTTAGAGTGATTCTAGCATGTCTTAATGTTTAGAAATCATGTTTTAATCTTTCTCAAGCTTCTAGATGAGTTAATAACTCATTTCTATGGATTATTCTAGTGAGATAAGTTGGTGAAAGCCCAAAGAGAAGAAGTGATTGGGTGAGCCTTGAGTCATTCCATCAACCTATAGGTATAAGGTAACACACTTATAACCTTTATTTACTATTTGTAGATCATCATGTGTAGTTTTGGTGTTTGTATGTGTGATTGAGCCATTTGTGTGCACTTGAGGGGGTTTAAAGTATGGAAATGGAGATTTGTTGTTATTCATGTATAAACTAATAACCTTTCATGTTCCTTAAGTACTAAATAAGCTTTAAACGCTATTCGGGGACCTTGGGTACACTTTAGGAATGAATTTGGAGTTTTTTTAAACAAGTGAAACAAAGTTTTCTGGGTAGAGGGTATCAATACTGTAAGAACAGTAACGATACAATCGGCCCGTGTAAAGGAAAAAATCAAAGGGATTTGTGAGGAGAGTATTAATACCCCATCAAGGAGTATCAATACTACTCAAGTAGTATGGATACTTGAGGCCTAGTCGATACTCGGGGTCTTGATCAGAAAATCGAAAGTAATTTTGGTATCAGTGCTCAAGGGAGTATAAATACCTAAGAGGGGGAGTATCGATTCTCGAAGGGGAATATCGAATCTTAGATAATTTCTAAAACATCAAATGCATTTTTGGTACCGATACTTAGGGAAGTATCGATACCAAATGAGGGGAGTATCGATACCCAAAGAGGAGTATTGGTACCATCATGATTGTCCAGGCTATAAACCTAGTTGTGGTTAGAGTGACGAAACCAAGGGGGTTTGGTGTGAGAGATCTTCTAAAAAGCTTACAAGTGGAACACCTAATTTAATTGTGTGATAACATAAGATCTTAATGAGGTAAGATTCCATAAGACTTAT